AATAAGAATTGCACCTGAATTTTGAAAGCATGAATTAATTTATTCATTAATATTAATTTTAACTTTTTCTTTTGAGTTTTTAAATATATAAAATAAGCTCCAAAAAATTCAAAAGATTTTGTGCAGAGAAAAAAAATATAAGTTATCATAAATATATCAAACAAAAAAAAAGAAATTTATTTAAAAAATTGATAAGATATAATTTAATTAATTATGATTAACTTAATTAAGTATAATTAACATGTCAACAATAAAATATTAAAATTAATGATACAACTATGAAAAATCATATATGTTTTTTTTATAATAATATTAGTAATCAATCCTATAATTATATAAATATTTAGTGTATGATTACTACTTATTATAAGTTATGTAAATAAGAAATACATTTAAATTAATCAAATATAAAATAAATCAAAATAAATTATCATAATTATAAATAGTGAGTGATTATCCATTTTTCCGTAGGGTTGGAAAAAAATTTACTATCGATCATATGCGTAGATATATACTTATTGTGTATTCTAATTTTTTGAGTATACAAAGTACATATTAACTAAGCTCAAGCTCAAAAAATTAGAATACTTGAGCTAGAGCTTAGTAAAGGTTTGAACAAGTCGAGATCGGGCTTTATTCTACGAGTTCGAGCTAATTCTACGAGTTCGAGCTAGGTCGTTTATTATGAAATAGAGAAAATGATTATGATTTAAGCAATAATTATAATAAAATGATAAAAAAAAAATGAGAAATTATAAGAAAAATTATAAGGAATTACATAATATAAGAAATTGTGATATAATTTTTAAATATTTTTAACAACTTTGTATTTAAAATCTTGAATTCTAATATATTTTAAGCATATTTATATTAAATAGCTGGCTCACGAGCTTACGAGTTGAGTTGGGGCTAGCTCAAGTTTGGCTCGCCAGCTAATTAAGCTCGACTCACAAGTCATTTACCTAGCTTAGCCTGAGCCAGCTTACGAGTCAGCTTGACTCACTTACACCGCTACTCCAGAGTAATACTTCACTATAAATTTAGAAAAAATAAAAAATAAATATTTGGCTTATTTTCATAACTCATTGATTTGAGGCGAAAAAAAAAAGAGGATGATATAATAAGAAAATCATAAAATTTTGATAAAGAAAAAAAATAATTTGTGGTATTTCAAAAAAAATATTACTCACTTTTCAAAATAATATACAAAAAAATTATAACGATTTTTTATTTGAGCAATATATGATTGGAATATTGGATAACCTAAATAAAATATACTAAACATTTTAAATAACATGTTAGATATTATATAAATGAATACTAAAAATGCACTATTATTATTATGAAATAATAAATTATTAAATATTTAATAAAAATACTAAAGTCTGGCCCGAGGAACAAAATGGCCTGGTCCCGAGGACCTAATTCCATTCCATTTAGAATTCGGTTCGCAAAAATCTGTAGCCTTTCGTTTCATTCTTTTTTGTCCTTTTGCTTTTCTTCTCTGTTACTCTCTTCCTTTGCCATTAAGAATGTGGATTTTGAAGGGCTCGAGGTGCCTTAGAAATAGCTATTTTATACCCAAAAATAAGACTTCACAATTTTTTTTTTATTATTATTAAAGCTAATTTGTAGAGTCAAATATTTAGAAAATTTAATAATAATAAAGCCCGAACCCTACCCAAATTTAAATAGGAGATTCAGAGGTGAACTCACTTTACATAATTTTTTATAATTTTGTATATTTTATAGAAATCTTCGTATGTCATACTCTAGAAATATCCTCTCCATTTTCTCGTTCTCTTTTCGCTTCATATTTTAAGTATAATTAGGATCGAGTTACAAATAATTCTTCATTCTAACATCCTAAAGCTTCATTTGGGACAATTTTTTTCATTATTTTCTAAAACAACGTTTTAGTACCAAATTTATAGTTTAAGAAAATTTTGTACTAAAAAGCTGTTACAAACAAAGCCTAAATGATGCGATTAGCACCGAGCATGTTAGTAATTATATAAGGAGTACTACATGCAACAAAACAGGATCTAAGTGGAGAATAATTTATTAATATGGAGAATTAAGAATTCATGATTGTTTGACAGCTTACTTGACTGAAGAAGATGATGACTGAGATAATTTAGAAAGTATTGGAGAGGTTGGAAAGAACAACTCCTAAAATGTTATTTCACTTCTTGACATCAACAATATATTGAAGTGTAGTTTATTCCCTACTACCTATAAGGAATTGCGTCTGAGGTCGTTCTTGCATCTGCTAGTTAGCGTCATTACCTCTTTTGTCAAGTTTAAGAAGATGTTCGTGACGCATTTTGCAAGGATATAATGATCGTAAAAGAATTCTCAAACCATACTGCGAATAAAGCAAGAGCTGATGTTGCAGCACATGGAACTAATCAAGAGAGAAGGGATGTCCAATGCAAGATCCATGGCTAGGAGGCTTCATTAGAGCAAGGAATCAAGAATTAAGTATTTATTATTATATTTATGTGAATGTATAGTCTCATATGTAGTAGTAGAAGTTTCTTTATAAGTGTTATTGCATTTTTGTGTTTTAATAAGCCGTTTTAAGTTATGTATTATATTAGACATTTTAACTAACCCAATAAAATGTCCAATTTCGAGTGGAGGGGGTCGAGTGGCTGGCCTATGTATGGCATTAGTAGCCAAGTATGCAAAGGTGACGACTGGCTAATTTACAAGTTTTGTACTTGTGATGAGTGAGAAAATATGGTTTACCTAAGTAAACTCCAGTGCTTGTAATGTTAAATGTACGTATTTTTTAATTCTCTCGATCTTCATTTAATTATTGCATTTGACGTGGGCTAATTTAAAACTTAGTATGCATTATTACCTTAATTGAGGAATAAATAAATAAATAAACAAATAAAAGAACTGAAATAAAACATTACCATGCACAATATATGATGACTAGGATTTTGAAGTATAAGAAGATAGAATAATTTCAATGTAGTGAAAACTTTACTTGAAACTCTTATAAGCTCGACATAGATCTAAGTGTAATTTTTGTTTGATTTACTGCACATATTTGAGGAATCAAACTTAAGCAAGCATGTATTTCTACACTATTATAGGTTCAGAATATTTTCATTTATTGAACTTTTTCAATTCAGCACTTGCATTGAAAACTCTTTTTCATTTGAATTGGTAGGATAAATCTTGTGGTCACATAGGCAATCCT